ATTAGTATATAAAGAATTTTTTTGAAAGTCTTCGAATAGTATCGCTGGTTCAATAAAGAATTAATGTCTAATATAATAAAATTATCTAGCAAATCGAAATCAACGATATTATAGACGATGTTTAATCGCGGTCCCTGTGATTATAGCAATGCTGACGATTGAAACTGCGTGTCGGTACCATCGCTTAGAGATACTTGATATTTTATTCGACCCTTCATACGTTTGTAAGGTTCGTTTTAACCACGATATTAAAACTTAAAGTAAACTTCTCATAAACTTTACTTGGTTCAGATATACGTTTTGCGTCATACACGCAAGTCGCGTTATCAATACTTTCTTTCCGGCGCAGGAACACTCGCGTCGATACTTCCCTCCAATATTGCCGCTAACATTATCGATACCCGACAGTGTCGATATTGCAATCCTATTTGTAACTCGTGCGCGAAGCTGACTAATGTAGCGCGAGGTAGAAATATATGTGTATACACGTGCATACATATTTGTATGTATATACGTCTATACAGATATATAATCTCGCGTATATTTTTGCCGGCCAGAATCGTGCCGGCGCGCTTAATCGTGAATAATCTGTTTCGTGAAAATAGAAACGTCTACATTTTCTACCTCGGCTACACCGCGCTCGGTGAAGTGAATTTTCTTCCCTGGGGGGGGTGGGGAGGGGGAAGGCAAACGCGAAGTAACGTCTACTTTATTCATGCCTCACGAAACGTGCATGCGACGCGCAGGCAGCTGCGATTTTTTACGTTTTCTAATATAAACGCGACCGAGTCCGTGCGGGATCGCGATGAAAATTGGACGGGCGCCGCGCGACGAGATAAATTCGCGTCTCTCTCTCGGCCACGTTGGCAATTACGATATACCGTTTAAACTACGGTCTCGCTATAATACTCAAAGATCGCGCATCATAATCTGCAGCGAACGGGGACGCGCGTTTCGCGAGATACTGCGCGGATATCCGTCGGAGACACACAACGACTGCGAACAATCGATTGACGTCGCGGAGAAGTCGACGGTTGATAATCTCCGCGTTTTCTATCACGGCAAAAAGTGCACGTATATATCGCGCCGATAATATACCTGCTGTTTCATTCTTCACGAGTTTAATCCCCCCCCCCATGGAAGGCCAAAAGACAAGGGAGGCTATTAATTTTCGACCCACGACGGACGAATATATACGGAGATATCTCCATCCTACTCTTATATCCGGCCACTTTTCGTCGCGGCCCGGTTCCCCGAAATAACGCGACTCCACGCGTCATCCCCCCCCCTCCCCCTTCCTCCCGCGACGCAATTTACAGCGGCGCAAAGCGATTTCGAGGAGAAATAACGTCGGCTGGCGAGCGTCGTCGCGCGCGTATGGATCGAGCTTCAGAAGAGTGTCTCGGCCGCGCGCGCGGATCTCTTTGTGCTATACGCGAGGGCCGGAGGGCCGGCTTCTTCCTTCTCTTCTCCGGACGGCCTTTGCTTGATACACCCTCGTCCCCGATCCCAACCGCCTCCTCATCACCGCCGCGCGCTCTTTATCTTCCCTTTCTCCGTCGCCCCGCCGCGCCGCGCCGTAACGCGCCGTCCTCCTGTCCTCACGGCGAGTCATCTCGTTTAGGTCGTGCTAGCGGCGACGGCGACGGCGACGGTGGCGGCGGCGGCGAGGAGGGCCGCGAAAAAGGGGCTGAGTGATACCAGGCAGCCGAGAGGGGAAAGGGTCGGCGAGAGCCAAGGAACGAACGAGGAGAGGAACCGAGAAGAGAGGCGACAGGGTCGAGGGAGAGTAGCTGCGGGACAGAAGGATATATGGCTGTGTATTATGTACTTGGACCCCGCGCGTTACATACTCCTTCGTCGTCGTCCACATAAAGAGCGAGAAAGAGAAAGAGAGAGAGAGAGCGAGCAGGTGTGTGTATACGAGCGCGCGTCTGTCGATGTGTGAATGCATGCGGGCGCGTTGCACACGAGGGGATTTCTTCTCTTTCTCATTC